ACACACTCTTCTGGAACTAGTTTGGTCTAATTTGGTAGTGGGGAAAAGCCAAATGTCTAAAATAGTTATTAAAATTTCACTAGATTCCCATCTTTTTTATGTCCTCATCATCTCTTTGCCCACAGTTTTCTCCTGTCTCACTGCCTGTCTCTTCCCCCACCCCCCATTCCCATCTCTAGTTTCAAATGTCTTGTGAAAGCAATAGACTGCCCTCTCCAATGCCAGGCACTAGTCAAAAATAGAAGTGTGGTGTCCCAGACATTTATGGTAATAGTAACTGTGACAGTGTAGCTGGGGACAAGGGAGGGAAGAGCCAAGAGGAGAAGATATACTGACGTATTCCTAAATCTATTCTTTTTCAGTAGTCATACTCTAAAACACAAGGTCATATATTGTTGAATAAGAGTTGACATTTATATAGTGATTCACGAACATTATCTCATTTGATTTTCAATTCAATTTAGCTCAATTTAATGAGTATTAGGTACCCAGTACTATGTTCCAGACACTGTGCTAGGAGCTGGGGATACCAAGACAAAAGTGAAAATATCTCCCCTCAGGGAGCTTACATTCTTTTGGGCAAAAATAACTCATAAGTAAATGCAAAATATATGTAAAATAAATACAAATAGAGTACCAGGCCTGGAGTCAGGAAGACCTGACTTCAAATCTGGCCTCAGACACTAGCTGTGTGACCCTGGGCAAGTAACGTAACTCTTTGCCTCAGTTTCCCCACCTGTAAAATGAGCTGGAGAAGGAAATGGCAAACCACTCCAAAATCTTTGCCAAGAAAACCCCAAATGGGGTCACAAAGAGTCAGACACAACTGAACAACAAAAAAACTTAGTGCAGGAAAAATACTAACATCTGGGGAAGGGAAGGGTCCCAAACAATCTCATGAAAGGAGATGGCACTTGAGGCTTGGTTTCAACTTTGATTTCACAATAGCCTTGTGGGAGGCCTACTACAGCTACAGAGTATCTCCAAAGTCTTAGTGCAGCATTTAAGCTTAGACTTCTTTTACAAAGGACAAAACTGGTTTAGAAAAGGTAAGTAATCTGCTCACAGTCCCAGTGCTAAGTGTGGGAGGGAGAGTTTGAATTCAGATCTTGTCTGAGTATAGATTCAGTTCTGGTTTCCATTGCCTCAGTATATTGTGACATTGTATCACTATGCATCAGAGAAGAAGAAACCCTGTGAGGAATTGCTTAGACTTGTTAATGGAATATTTAGTTCATTAGTAATAAAATGAAATTGATTTTCCTCTTTGTACATAGAAAGAGTATAAGAAAATGTGAATACCATTATATGTCCTTATCATATATAAAGGGATTATAGACAAATTATATATGTATGTGTGTATATGTTTAATATATATTATATAAATACACATACACACATATTTATATATATGTATTTTTTTGGGGGGCCCCTAGACTGCTGATTTCATTCCTGAAGAGGAACTTCCCCTGCCAATGCAGATGTACACATTAGACAGTTGCAGTGACTTGCTAGGTAAGCGTCACATAGCAAGTATGTGTCAGAGGTCATACTTGAACCCAGGTCTTTCTGACTCTAATGCCTACTTGGTTATTCGCTGTCTATACTATGTTGTCTCCCACATATACAGGGTATCCCAAGAGTCCTCATGCAGTTTTAGCTATTTAAACCTTAAAAGTGCACGAAGACTTCTGGGACACTCTAAATATAATAAGAAAAAATGAAATTAACAAAATGCAATTAAATATAATGATGAGAAAATGGGATCTCTAAATTCCCTTTCAATACTTAAACCCCCCTTCCCAGGATGCTTTGAGTTACAAGTGTTTTAACACTTGTAAATGGCATTAACATTTAAAAATTCAGAACCCTTCAGAACTCCCTTCTCTATAAAGTAATTATCTTAGTTATCCAAGGAAACTTTCCTAAGTAAGACTTCTCTATCTTGAGCAAACAGTTTACACTTTAATAAAACATTCTTTACTGGTGTGCTACTCTGCATAGTGAGACAATTTCTTTAATAGTCGGAGTCTATTAAAACCAGCCAGGCACCAGTGCAACCGGACAGCTAGTGTGCTGACGAAGGTTTTGTGTGTACGTTTTTTTTTTCTGTCTTCTTTGAATGGTTGTTCCTAGCAACGTGCCAATCCCCATTCATAATCTCAATAGTCTCAAGATGCTCTCTTTACTTTTTTTTTTCTTAGAGAGGATTCAAGATTTGTATATGACATTTCTGGTCACATGAAATGAATGTTAATTTGGTACAAACAAATAAACAGGAATTCATTACAAAGGCCCAGGAGGAAAGTGCAATATTTCACTTGCATTTAGCTCGATCATGATTTTCTTGGACCTGCTGGCTTCTCTTTGTCAATGTGCTGTCATGCTTGTGTGTGTGTGGGCGATCATCTTTGTGGAGTAACTATTTATAACATCACAGCCTATTCTATGAGAGTGCTCAGTGGCAAGGCTTGAAGTTATACATTAAACTTTGAGGTGGCAACAGAAAAGATTATCAGATATCATTCTTCATGTTGAAAATATGTTCCTTCACAAAATAAAAATGACCATTTGGAAATTATATTATACTACCTATACCATGCTGAGGAAACAAAATCAGGGCTTCTATGCATTAAATATGCAATGGGTAAAAATGTGCAGATTTTAGTGTGTGTGTGTGTGTGTTTAATCATCCATCAAGAGCCCCGTTTTAACCACTTACTCTCCTAAATCCCCTCAATTCCCTCAGTGATGAGTTATTTCAGTTGTGTCCAACTCTTTGTGACCTCATTTAAGGTTTTCTTAGCAAAGATACTGGAGTGGTTTGCCATTTCTTCTCCAGCTCATTTTACTGATGAGGAAACTGAGGCAAACAGGGTTAAGTGACCTGTCCATGGTAGAGTTTGAAACCAGATTTGAACTCAGGCCCTCCTGACTCCAGGGCTGGCTCTCTATCCAATGTGCTGCTTAGCTGCCCCATGGTACAAATTACTATGAGCAATTTAGAAGATAAGCCAGGTACAAAAGACACTTTCTTTTTTAGGGCTTGCTTCTCTATCACCCCAGACCTATAGTAACTTTGCTCAACCAGAGCAGTTGCTTCTAAGAAATATTTAATTTCCCTGATCCAGAAACAGCTAGGTGGTGCAGTGTATAAAGTGCTGGGCCTAGAGGAGTCAGGAAGACCTGAGTTCAAATCTGCCCTTAAACACTTACTAGCTAAAAATGTCACTTAACTTCTGTTTGCCTCAGTTTCCTTAACTGCAATATGGGGTTAAAAACAGCACCTACCTCTCAGAGTTATTGTAAAGATTAACAGAGGAAATATTTGTAAGGTGGTCTAGCACAATGCCTGGCACAGGACATTCCCTTCCCTTTCCTCATTGCCTTCAATTCCTTTGAGCTCATCACTAGTCCTTGGGCCACATGGCCATGACTGCTGTATTATCCAGATCACTGCCAGTCTCTGCTATTAGACTCAAGAGTGTTTAGTTAATGTACATAGGAACATGAGCTCATAGATTTAAAATAGGAAGGAACCTCAGAGGTTATCTAATCTGGCATGCTTATTTTATACATGAGAAAACTGTGGCCTGAAATATTTTTGCCTTTGTTTCCCTATCATATATACACATGTATGTATATATGTATATGTTTGTGTGTTTACATGGATATGTAAACATCATACACATATAAGATATACATACACATATAAAACATATATAACTATCCAATACATATATCATATGTATCATATGTGATTTATATACCTAATGCCTAACACATAATTATCAAAGCTTATAGAAATAACTGAGAACACATTAATATAGTGCTCCATGGCTACCCAGACCTTAACATATATTATGTCTATATATACTTAGAGCACGAAGGGACCTTGAAGGTTACCTACTCCAACCAACTCATTTCACAGATGTGGAAACTGAGGCCTACAGAGGTTAAATAATTTGACTAAGGTTTAGCCAGGTAACATGTGGCACAGCTGAGATTTGAGCTTAGGTCAAACTACCAGGAGCTACCACTCTTTCTATTGCACCCCATTGTTTCCATTTCTTTGATTTTTGTATGCAAGTTACGACAAGCATTAAATGGAGGCAATGCAAGCATTACTATCCTTATTTTATAAAGAAACTAAGGCTCACAGAAAGTAAGGGATTTTTCCAGGTTCACATAATTAATAAGTGCTAGTGTTGACACTTAGACGTTCTAACTCCAAATCCAGGACTTTATTTGGCCTATTCAATCTCTAAAGATTGTGTATCAGAGGAAAAAAAATGGAAAATATGCCCAATTCATATGAAAAAATAATAGAATTTTCTTTTCTTAAGTACTTGGGAGTTTCCCATACTCATTCCCATGCTTATTCTTTTCTCATATAGATACCTTGATTCCTTTCTTTTCAATTTCTTCATTGGAAATTGTTGTTATAATAATAATTGCTAGCATTTATATAACACTTTAAAGTTTGCAAAACTCTTTATAAATATTATTTCATTTGATTCTCACAACAACCCTGGGAAGTAGGTGCTATTATTATCTCCATTTTACAGGTGAAGAAGCAAAGGCAAATGAAAGTTAAGTGATTTACCCAGGGTCACACAGCTAATATATAGGGATCAGGATTTGAACTCAGATCTTTTTGACTTCAGGTCCAGCCTTCTATCCATTGCACCATCTAGTTGCCTAGGTATAATTAGGCATAATAAATTAAAATTGCAAGAGAGACCCAAAAGTTAGCATATTGTAAGTCAATTGTAAGAGAAAACCAAATACTAGAATAGAGGACCATTATTATAAATATGGTTTGGGGATCATGGGTTTCTTATATTGATTACATGGGTGAGTCTTGGGTACTTATTATGGGCAAAAAATTGTTTATGAACAACATCAAGTAAAAATCAATGCAACCACCATCCCTCCACTAATTGGGTTATTATTACCCTAGGAAAGCAAGAACATACTCTGACTTAACCCTTATATATCCCAGGGGCTGCTGCATAAAATTGTCACTCATTCCCATCTCCTTGCTGCTAGCTTCGTCCTGAAATAAGGTATGAACAACTGACCAGTTGTGATAGGGATTTTGTGCTGGGCAAAGAATAAAGAACATTTTCTTAAATTCACTTACTTATAGTTGGTTCTTAGAGCAATAGCATTACAGAGTATGTCTGAGATGACTTTTTTATTTACTAGCAAGACTGATCTCTGTGTACTGTCTGGCACTTTTCATTTTATGCAGGAAAAGCAATCATATTAGAATCATATAGCCAGAGAATTTTTGAGTGGGAAAAGACTTAGACATTTTATATTCCAATCTTTAAATTACAACTTGATTAGGCACAGTCCTTTCCCCACTTCCTCACAAAGTTACAATCCATTTAATCAGTAAAATGGAATGGGAAAGAGGAACCTGAAAGCAGGCATTATTTCTTCAATTTAACAGTAAAGGAAACCAAGGACCTCAGTGGTCAATGGCAGAACTGAAAAGAATAGCTCATTACAATGCTTTTTCTATCAGGCCAGTCATGGAAAAAAAAAAAGGTAAAAGAAAATACTGACCAATATGTCAGGAGTTTTAAAGAGCTCAGGATGGGCCTAGTAAGAACTGGGCCCTAGAGCTAATGAAAACCAGACTCTAAGTAATTCTAATGAGAAATGTAATATATGCTCCTTCCTATTCCCTTTTTGTTTGATTTTTTATGGGAATGTTTGTGGGGGAATACTGAACGTATTTGCTGCTGGTGGATTCTTGTCTCTTAAGAGAGAAGGGGGAGGCAGCCCAGAGAGAACATGTGCTATTAAGTGGTCATTGTTAATAGTGCCTTATCCTACCCTGTTTTATGCCCCTTTCTTTTTTTCTAACTCTTTCTCCAACCTGAGTATAAGTCTAGTGGGCAGTTGTGTGAAGGTGATCAAGTAGCTTTAGCTTCAGTTTACTTCACTGCAAAATGAGAATAATCATCCTTTCCTTGTCTGTTTCACAGGAATGGAGAAGAAATAATATAAAAGAAGCAACTTGTGAATTTTAAGCACCATATGAATTATTCTTATTCAGTGGCAGAATCAGAATTAAAACTCATGTCTGCTGACTTTCAGTTGGGTATGCTTTTTATTTCATTGTCTTCTTTTTTCTTTTCCTCTCCCTTTGCCTGAGACCTGACCTTTCCTCTATTAATAGATTATCAATGAAGAATCAGCAAAGCAGATTAATTCGACCGTGAATCTAATTTCTTACCTGGAATAGTACAAAAGGAAATACACTAACATTCCAGCAGGATGGATTCAGGTTAGACTATGTCTATCTTCATTATGAGGGAACATTCTAGAAATGTCTTCCTGTGAAAATTTAGTTATAAATGAATAACCAGATATCTTTTGGAAGGGTTAAGAGTGCTCACATGAGCAAAGGGGCCATGGTCAACTGTTGATTCTCCCTCAGTACACTTGCCTTGTCATTCCCCTTCCCCCTTTGTACTAGAGGAATAGAAGAAGGTCAGCAATTATACTCAGGAAGCTCAGGATGGATTCTTGAATGGGTCAACTGTACATGAATTGAACCAGCTGTCTTGGGGATATCTACTGTGTCTTTCACATGGGATGATTGTGACATTCTTCTCACCTGGGGAAAGAGGAAGCCTAGACTCTTGGTTTACTCCTGCATGGGTAAATGCCCTGGGATTCACTCCACCTCAAGTGACTCTTGTCCAGAAGTTTATTTCCCACTGTCTCTGCAACTGAATTTGCCCTAGGAGCTAGATTCTTATTTACAGGTCTGTTTCAAGTAATTCTACCATGAGATAGACAAATGACCTTTCATAGCCCTTCCTATGAGTCTATGTCTATGAGATAAATGGTTAACTCCAATGAAAGAAATTAATTCCCCCCCTTCAAGTAATTATCATCAGGCATTATTAAAATGCCAGGATGAATGTTGAATTCTATTAATTAACTGGATATTGTTGATGTAAACTGGCTGCAAATCCTATACAGGTAGCCAGAAAGCTTGGTTCATATTAGCATTTCTACAGATTTTTCATAATTTAAGTATTGGCACCAGCTAAGTAGTTGAAACAGAAAGGTAAGTTATGTACCAAGTTCAATTCTCTGACAAAGCAACTAACAAAATCCTGGGCTCCCAGGCTTGAGGGAAGGTTTGTTTGGCTGCGCAGCTAATAGAGAGTGTGTGGTACCAGAGGAATGTGTCACAGTAATGCAGAGAGCTGTAATGATGTCAACTTGTTATTTACTTTCCAAATCTGAATGACTGAGCAAGGCGAAAGGAGAATCAATCAACCACAATGTGACCCTACAGGCGGAAAAAACACAGCACTCCCACCAGTAAGAGATTGGGGGAAGGGAAGCACATGTAACCAGGGCAATGTTGCATCATTTACTTGCATTGGTTTTGTATCGCACCCTTCTTTTTTCGATTGAATGTAATACCTCAGTATCAATCTGTACAAATCCAGGGGACAAATAAGGAAAGAAGGGCAGGTTCAAGGCAAAAGAACATCAACAAAACCTTTTGGGGGTCTTGAATTGCAACTGATACATAATAAAAATCCATTCTGCTGATTCACAATTATGGAGACTGTGTAAGTCTATCTTTTAATGTGCTCTAATGATGGTGTAGAAACAATAGTTTTACATCATTCGTGATTTATAATAATAATATAGCATTTGAATTTTTCATGTTTACATTTTTCATAAGTGACCTGCCCCTTAAAAGTAACGATTTTTTTTCTTGCAGACAAATAGATCAAATAAGGTTATATTGTGGATTACTAAGTACAGTACTACCCACTTATTACAAGGCTTGCCATAATACCATCCCCCTCCCCCCCAAAAAACCCCAAAACAAAATTAGACCACCACCACCTTATTTAAAATATAGGAACCAGGCAAAAAACCAAATGTGTTTTGGAGTATTTGTTTAATTGGATTAAACTCACAAGGGCTAGGCGATTGCCCCATGCATGGAGGAGGGAGAGAGATCTATAGAACTATAGAGTTAGATCTGTGTAAAGTAAACCATGAGAAATAAAAATACTTTGCAAATGTCTGAAACCTGGATAAGATAATGCAAACAAATCTTGATGCCTGGAACGCCTTTACACCCTAGAAACAACAACAACAACAACAACAACAACAAAATCTTGCTCTTCCTAAGCTTACTGCCATATGCATGTATGTATATTTCATCCACATATGTACACACCATTGCTCATCCACTCGGGCTTATTTTGCAAAACTGCATACAACAAAGCTCATATGTATTTTTTCAAAAGAGGGGGAGGGGTAGGTGTTTTCAAGCAGCCGAATTTTAGAAGGGAACAACCTAAATGCTGGTTACGTTAGGACAGTTGGGGGGAAAAATATATATATATATTTTTTTTTTTCAATTTTTTTTTGGCCTCCCCCCCGGGTGGGGTGGTGGTGTTTGGCTGGGTTCTGGTCTAGTTGTGGCTTAAGTTTCTTTTTCTTTCTTTCTTTCTTTTTTTGCAGGAGGGGGAGGGGTTGCATTTTGGAGAGGGTGTGTGTCTGAGTGCAATAGGGGGAAAAAAAAGGTGGTTCCCCACCCCACCCCTTCTTTGCCTAGTTCAGGTCAGCGTGCTGGATTTTTTTTCCCCCTAGGAGGTCACTCGCTGACTGTCTCTGTCTCAGTCTCAGTGTGGATCTCTTGTCTCTTTTCTCTTTCCGAGGGGTAGCTGCTTCTGTTTCTGTCTCCCTCTCCACCCTCACCCTCTCCTCTCTGTCTCTTTCCCTCTCTCTCTCTCTCTCTCTCTCTCTCTCTCTCTCTCTCTCCCCACCCCCACCCTTCACCTCGTACACACACACACAGACACACACACAGACACACACACAGACACACATCAAACACTAACTCTGCTAATGAATTAGTGAGCCGCAAGCAGCCAAGCAGCAGCACCTCCTGACCGCCATTCCGCACCCAAAAAAAAAAAAAAAGAACCCAAACCAAAAAAAAAAAACTTTCCATTTTCCTCTTCCCACTCTCTGGGACTTCCTTTGCATTTCGGTGTGTGCAGAGGGGGGAGGAGGAGGAGGAGGAGGAGGGGGAAGGGGGGAGAGTTGGGATTTACAGTCTCCTTTAACGCTTGCTGGGACCTTGGAAAAAAAGAAGAGTTACACCATGTACAGCAAGTGAAAGAAAAGTCTTGTGTGTTTCCAACAGAAGTTGAGGCTTTTCCCCCGCTGCTTCCAGGAGTGAAAAGCGTTGCCTTTAATACACTTGGAGTGAGGTGAGTTTGGAGGGCTGATTATTCATCATTTAGACCTTTTGGGGGGGGAGAAAGAGAGAGTGAGAGAGAGAGAGGGAGAGAGAAGGGGGGAAGGGAGGTGGAGTGTGTGTATATATGTGTGTGTATTGCAATTTTCTGATCAACTGGCCCCTGCTTGCCATAACACCCCCCCCCAAACTTCCCTAGGTTCCTTTTTTTGGTGGTGGTTGTCATTATTTATTTATTTTGCAAACACCACCCCCCCTTTTGGATTTATGGCTGTGTTTCTCTTAGGATTCCTCACATTTTGCTCTTGAGTGTCTATAGTATGTGTTATGTGGTTTTGTTGTCTTAAATCATCTGGACAAAGTGGCTGGCTTTCTTAAAGGAAAGGCTTATAATTGTGATTATTTTGTGATTGTTGGGTTAGGTTTGGAGACGGTGGTGAATTTTTTAAGTCTTGAACAATAACAAAATTTGGTGTCTCCTGAAGTGTTCCTAAGGCTTGTGGGTTTTTTATTTTTTTGGTCCCCCCCCCTTTTTGGGGGGCTGGAGAAGAAAGATCAATAACTTTGGAGTAGAGTTTTTGGAATAATCACTTGGCTTTCAGAGGCTGTATTTTTAATTGGAAAAACTGCTAAATGTAAGGTATTCACATTGCAGATGGTGTGGAATTTCCACCAGCCCAGGGGTGGGGGAGGGGAATCCCATTCATCTACAGTATTAGATACAGCAAGGATTGGAATTACACTCGAGAAAATTGATCAAAGTTGAACTCCAAATAGTTAAATAAGTTAGTGGGTGTGCATGTCTGTGTTTTTTTGAAGCACAATTTGCCATACTTGTCAAGTAACTTGAAAGCCACTCTCCTCCCCTCCCCCTTCAGCCAACTAGTGCGAACAGTGTTCAATGTTATGAAATAGATTGAGGGTGGCTTTTATTAAAGTGTGTGCAGGAGGTTGCCCACTTCGCAAGAAAACAAAATTGCAGACCTGTTGCTTACGTTGTTAATGTGAAAAGATGCCTTGCTTGATCATCTGGATTCTGTGCCCCGCCAAAGAAATTGCCACCCCCTTCCTAAATGGTGTGCTTGCAAGAGAGAGACTTCTGTTATGAAAGCCCGTGGGAGCACCTTAAATCCCAACAATTCTTGGCTATTTTTTTCACTTTGCTGCTTTCGTACTGTTTTCATCTGAGCAGTTGTTTTGATATTTGGTTTAATAGGGTTTGATTTCACGTATAATTGGGGGCTGGACCTGTTTAATTGTATGTTATTGTAGTCTGAAAAGCATTATTGCTGTTAAAATATTAAAAGTTAGATTTCTAGGTATTTAATTTCAAGTCAGTAACACTGTTTAGGAAAAAAAAAGACAAACTCTGATCGCATCTGTAAAGTATTTCTGATTTCTACAAAGTTGTTTTCCCCTCCTTATTATATGATATTTTTCTTTTCCTGGCAGGCACTAGAACTCACTTTTAACCTGAAAGGGGGAGGGGCACAGCTACAGACCGGGAGGGGGAGGGAAAGAGAAACCTTTCTGTTCGGGCCATGTGTACTTATCTTCCAAAAAAAAAAAAAGGCAAGGGCCCTTGAATATTTTTACCAAAAAAGAGTGTGCAACAATGTTAGAACAGATTATAAGGTAGTACGTACAGTAAATATAGAGTGCGACAATTAAGACTTTAATATGCTTATTACTTTTAGATGCCTGATTTTATGCATACAGTGCATACTTCAGGGGAAACTTGCAACTGGGTAACAAATATAGGATAATAATAGAAAGAAAGAAAGAAAGAAAGGACTCGTTTATGGTCTGCCTCTATTTCCTTGAATCTAATTACTTGAACACACTTTTAAACTTCACACACCTGTGGGACAAAAATGGTAAGTTTATCATGCTGTTCTGTTGTCCCATGTGTATTTAGGCCTCAGGGGTGTCAGAGTTGTCCTGCGTGCCCCGAAGGTTCAAGTAGGAAGAAATTTGCACAAAGCGGATAGAGTATAAGTTCATTTTGAAAGATCGTCTGGGGAAATAAATGAATTTAAAATATTTCAGTAACATTGTTTAAATATTTTTGTCTGTTAATGAAAGTAATTATGATCTAAGTAGGAGAAAACTTTCTTCTTTCAGTCCAGGGGGTAGCAAATTGTGTCCAGGGTTAGTTATCCTAACCAGGTAACATTTGTAGACTATTCAGTAAGCTTGTTCTGAGCACTGTACTAAACTTTCTTTAGGGCTCTTCTTGCCCTCAGGGATCCTGCTCTAATAGACAAGCCTTAACACTTTTGTCATTCTTGCTTTTTTTACACACCTCTTGGCCCGTCCTTAATTGTTCGCACCTCCTTGTAAAGGCTAGGGGAAGAGGTGAAAGTCTAGAGTAATTTCATTTGTTGTTCCTGTATCTCCCAAAGTAATTTCCACCACTTAGAACTTCTTTTGAACTCTTCTAGTTTACTGTATATTAAGTCACAGAGAAGAGTTGCCTAGTTTGGCCGTAACTCCTTAGCTTGGAGTCCGCCAGTGGTGAGTCCTACCTCATCACAATCCTCTCCCTCAAAACTCTTATCAGAACCCCAACAAACACTTATTTTCCACACGAGTAGGAATGGGTATTGGACCTACAGAACACTGACTACCTCTTAGCTATGTGACAATAGACTATACGTCTTTGAACTGCAGTCTCATTGTCCCCAAAGTGGGAATAAACTCTAATTGTCCTACCTGTTTCATGAGATTACTGTTTGATTTGTGGTGATTTCAGTGTGGGTACACTCACTGCAAACCCTCCTCAGCTTGGTGTAGGTAGTTTTATAAGTTACTGGCTCTGGGGACCAGCCTCTTCAAACTTAGCTAACCGCATCCTTAGCCAACAGTGCCCATTGCTAGGGTTTCTTGGAAGCCAGTAGTTCCCAACTTGTAGGAAAAGGATTGCCTAGGCCTGAGTTATGAGGGGTAAAGGAATCTACATGCTTGTTGTCATTAATTATCAACCAACTTAATACCTATAATAATCAAACATCTTCTCTAGCTATATCTTACATGTATAGGTATTGCTATTTTCAAATATATATAGAGGTACCATTCTGATTAATAAAACAGAATTCATTTAAAAGCATTTCTCGTGTCATAGTATTTTTGTGATGTTCTCTCTAAATTTCCTTTTATTTATTTTGAATATATCATTACATCTATACTTGTCTGTATATATTGTCTTGTACATGACCATTTCGTTTTTTGTCCTTGTGTCTTCCACACCTAGAACATGGTAGGCACTTATATTTTGATGCTAAGTAGAGGTCATCCGTCATAGACTTTCCATTCATAATAGAAAATGTGGGTATATACATTCCCATAGCTTGTTCTCTGCCAGCATAGTGTTTGAGCACCCAGAGTTGCCTTCATGTTTTGGTAGGCCTCTTACTTATTAGTGTTTCCCGCATCATTGGTGAGAAAAGTGGTTTGTAAACTGTAAAATACTATATAAATGAGTCATGGCCTGTACTTTATGACTTACTAAGTGTTTTCCTTACAAGTGAGATAGTATCTCCATTTTACATCTGTGGAAACTGAGGCTGGGAAGGGTTATACAATTTACTCAGGGTCATACAGCTGGTCCAGGTCTTCTTCTCCAAGTCTATCCAGTTGCAGAATTATGACGATGGCGTCATTGCATTTTGTGTATGTTGTTCCCTGTCCTATACAGATTTTGAAATAAGTTACATGGCAGTTTCTTCATTTAGCTATGTAAGCAGTTCAACCAGAAATATAAACAGTAATTTTAGTTCTATATGTTAATGGGTATCTAATTTGCCATTTGTACATCATTTTTGGTCTTTAGAAGGCCTTGGGAGAGTAGTACAGAGAGTGTTGGAACTAAAATTGGACTAGAAGACCAAAGATTTGGTTATGTTTGTATGACTAACCATGAACTTTAAACAGGTAATTTGAATATTATATGTCTCAGTTTGCTAATCTGCAAAATTGGGCTAATAATAATCCTTGTTTAGCCTTTTCAAAAACGTGAAATGAGATGATGTATGTGAAAATGGCTGGAAAAATAATAAGTACTGTCTAAAGTCATCTGTTTTGGTTCAGTTTTTATTATTCTGGGTCAAAGTTTTCCTCCTTTTTTTTTCTAGATTACTGAGAGCTGGTGTATATGTATATATGTATATGTATATATATGTGTGTATATATTATACACACACACATACACATATATGACTTTGATAAAACTTTTTTTGACTTGGGTGCAGAAATATTAACCTTGGCATAGATTTTAATGCATAGCTCTCTCCCCATCTCTGGTCCAGTGGAAGTCTTCCAAAGTGCTAAGCTTTATTATGATTTTTGTTGTTATTGTTAATGTCAGAACCTTTCCTTGTTTTAAAAAAAAGTTGATTGATTCATAGTATAGCCAATAAACTGGGATCATCACAAAAATAAAAGAGCTCTCAGAGTAAACACATTTTTGAAAGTTTGCTACTATAAACACTTCATTGCTGGGTCTTTTGAATAGCTTTATGACTTTTAAAAATAATTATATGGTATAAATTTATTTTTTAAATGATGATGGAGAAAGATAAATCCATACTTTAGCTCACATATGTACTCACTCCAAGGGTCCAGTATTCTTTCTATTGGCAACGAGTAGCCAGAAAACTATTAAAGGCCAGGAATTCCCTCCTCCAGGGAGAAAGAGGATGGATCACTGTTGTGTGATAACTAAGCTTTGAGAAGTATTCTCAGGCCTTAACCAACACAAGAGATCTTGAGGTCATAACTAAAGATTCTATCCCAATTTCCTACTTGGAAAGAAAACAATTAAACTTCAGATTCTGGGCTGCCTCACTTCTCATGTTTTTAACTGGTGGTAAGATTCATGCTGTAGATGTGTTTTTACACACATGTTTGTGTAGTGTTGAAGCCTGGTGTTGAGTGATAATAAATGATTCTGTGCAATGTAAGGAAGGAACATCTCTGTTGTGGTTTTTGATCATCTTGGATTTGCCCTCTTTC